CAGGTTTAACACCTGGACAAGTCAAAGGCTATGAATTGAAATCCAATCCCCAAGTTAACCATCGTACTCATCTGAAAGACTCCTGCGTGTCTTAAATTTGGTAAAACCTCTAACCGTGCTGTAGAAAATTTGCTACAAAGAAAACTCTGAGTCCGTGCAGCGAACGATGCGAACCTCCGCGTGTTTTTAATGAAACCTGTATTAAGCGGACACCCTTGGGGAATGCTGTAGTGTCCGCTTAATACAGGGTGTCCGCCTAATACAGGTTTTTATAGATAACGTCATATGAGGTGTCAAATGCCATTGAAATAAACAGTGGAATAGTCCCAGAGACTATGACGATATACGTTCCCACTAATTTCTTGAAACAAGCTCTATACAAACAAAACGAAATAGAAAACAATACTGTACTGCGTTACTTCCGATTGCCTCCAAATTTGGCTCACAGGAAGTTAACAGATTTAGCCAATCACAGACCGAGTTTCATGCCATATAAGGCAGTGGGGGTAGCGTTGGATTTTTTTGAACGAGGGAGTGAAATGGCGTCCGGTAGTAGGAGAACGCGAGAGCGACTTTTTACCAGAGACGAAGCTCTTCAACAAATTTTCGCGGATGAAAGCGGTAGTGAAGGGATGTGAAGTGGAGAAGAAAGCGGTCTGGACCGCCAGCTTTACGATTTGGCGTTGCTAAGGAAAAATTCGAAAGAATTGCGTTGCCTAGGAGAACCACGCAAAGTTCGCGTCACCACGTGAAACTTCGCGTCCCCACGTGAGTTACGCGTCCCACCGAGTAAATCGCAAAATATGAAAAAAAAGGATACCGTTGGCCCAATAAATCGAACTTTAGGAATTTTTAAAATTTTTAAAATTTTTAAAACTAAACTAGTGAGCAGCACTCTGCGAACTGTTGCTGTAAAACTTGTTTATTCTCCTACGCGTTTCGTCTAACTAACGTAGACTTCTTCAGGGAGTTTTACAANGTGTTTTTAATGAAACCTGTATTAAGCGGACACCCTTGGGGAATGCTGTAGTGTCCGCTTAATACAGGGTGTCCGCCTAATACAGGTTTTTATAGATAACGTCATATGAGGTGTCAAATGCCATTGAAATAAACAGTGGAATAGTCCCAGAGACTATGACGATATACGTTCCCACTAATTTCTTGAAACAAGCTCTATACAAACAAAACGAAATAGAAAACAATACTGTACTGCGTTACTTCCGATTGCCTCCAAATTTGGCTCACAGGAAGTTAACAGATTTAGCCAATCACAGACCGAGTTTCATGCCATATAAGGCAGTGGGGGTAGCGTTGGATTTTTTTGAACGAGGGAGTGAAATGGCGTCCGGTAGTAGGAGAACGCGAGAGCGACTTTTTACCAGAGACGAAGCTCTTCAACAAATTTTCGCGGATGAAAGCGGTAGTGAAGGGATGTGAAGTGGAGAAGAAAGCGGTCTGGACCGCCAGCTTTACGATTTGGCGTTGCTAAGGAAAAATTCGAAAGAATTGCGTTGCCTAGGAGAACCACGCAAAGTTCGCGTCACCACGTGAAACTTCGCGTCCCCACGTGAGTTACGCGTCCCACCGAGTAAATCGCAAAATATGAAAAAAAAGGATACCGTTGGCCCAATAAATCGAACTTTAGGAATTTTTAAAATTTTTAAAATTTTTAAAACTAAACTAGTGAGCAGCACTCTGCGAACTGTTGCTGTAAAACTTGTTTATTCTCCTACGCGTTTCGTCTAACTAACGTAGACTTCTTCAGGGAGTTTTACAATCAAATTTACCGCCAAGCTTTGAAATGGGACCTGGGGATGAGGTTACGTTTACGCATAATCAAAACGTAGAGTGGCTGCTGACTGATAAAAAGCCCGTACTACTTATCCGTGACTCCGTGGAGGAGATTGATTGATATTCATGAGTGATTTGTTTCGTTGAAAGACCGGACAAATTGTCCTTAACAAGAGCTTTGCATTGGGTTAATTTTAAGTTTTCGTCTTCTTTTACTTTAGCATGTGATAACTGCACAAGGTAAGGCTATTGTTTGCATTATTAGCGTTCGCTAACATGCTTTATTAATTCTAGATATGTGATATTGATCTCGCTTGAATTAAGCTGTGAACTCCGGTCAATTTTACGCCTTCTGCAGCTGGTTTATATGTAATTGTTCAAACTTTTGTTTATAGCAGTTAAAAGAAGGTAATTACGTTTCATACTTCCACATTTGTCAGCGATTTAAGCAGTGTTTTATTGGTTTAGACGGGCGCTTGTTGGTTGATTGGAGCTAGACATGTCTTCTGATGGTATGGAATTGTCTTCCGACAAGGTGAGCTTAGCATTGCAGTGCTTTTGTTTTTGGAAGTCGAATTTAACATCAGTGGTAAGTAAGAACCATGCTTATCGAGCTTTGCTAGCTGGTCTTCAATATGTAAATAAAAACGTATGCAAGTGATATTTTGGAAACTAAAACAGCTAGCACTTCCTATTTCTAATTCGTGACATTTCTTCATGTTGTTCAAGTGCAACTTAATATCCATATCTATTGTAGCACTTTGGCTTAAATGGGACATGTTTTACATCCCGTCTAGAATGTTAATGAATTTCACAAAGAGAACGAAAAATCAATTATGTTTGCGTGGCATCCTCTTCGGTAACTAAAGTACTGGATGTTTGTCTTCCCAGTGTTCCATTTTGCTAGTATATAATGTAGTTATATTGTTTATTAAATTTATTACTTTTATGTTTTGTCAGTGGAATGACAATCATGAGAGAAATCGCTTTGAACAATTTCACTCATAATATTGGCTAAAGAAAAAATGAGGAAAGTAGAACTCTTTAACTTCCACAACATACATACGTACCTACATACACGTACTTTATTAACGTGTCAGAAGATTTAGCTAAGAAGCCAATTGGGGACACAAAAGGAAAATTCTATCCACAAAAACATTAAAATAATACTTATGTGAATATGTTTGATAAAATACAAGATTTGAGTTAAATGGATAGTTATATACAATAAAATAGAACGGTTGAAGTAAATGAATAATTTGATCACATGCATATGAATTTCATTAAGGAAAATTCATTATGTAGCATAAGCACTGCATTTGCATTTGGCCAAAACCACTGGGTAGTTAGCCATCCTTAGCTGGCTACTTTCATGTCCTTCCACCATAACTTGTAACAAAAAGTAAGCACCATTGAAATAAAGTTGTAAAGCACCCCTTTCCTAGTTTTGAATATGTCTTGGAACGCATGTTTAAACGGGTTTAGATCTGTGAAATGTTTGAACCATGTGATGTCGTGGAACACCTGGAACATTAATTTTCTACGGCATTGTTTCCAGTCTTGTGTGTATTCTGATGAAACAACATGGTGTCCGCAGTGGAAAATACCTCTTGAAAACCCATGCAAATACCATTTCCGAGACTCTAAATTTCAAAATGTGCCTAGACGCCTCATCCCTCAAGAACTTGTGCTTTTGGTGCGAGTTCCAAAGCCAGTTACTATTCATTATCAGCCTGCTACTTAAAACATTTTGACAGTCCTGAGTATGTAAGGTCAGGTAATATTGCCAATTTAAACAGCTGGGGATCATGTGCCTACGATAAACTATAACGCTTCATTTTCTGCTAGCCTTCTTACAGATGTCATCGATGGTAACCTCTAATAGTTTAAGAGCAGGAATAGCTATAATATTTTTTCCATGACAATAAATGGGTGTAGTGAAGGTGCCTGCTGAAACTGAAGGGAGCCACAAGCAAGCCTAGAAGGTAACCATGACAACACTGTGAGCAGCACCCACTAGGCAACGTTACACTGAGAACCTCAGTGGAGAAATGCACAGATACTTACCAAGACAAACATCCAAAGAGGAGTTGGGGGGGGGGGGGGGGGGG